CCCCCACTCCTTAAATAAAGGCAAACGCTCGGTCTAGATATACTATGTCTATGGTCTAGATATACTATGTCTATGACTAAGTTCCGACTGACAACGTGTCGGGTTCGGACGTGTTTTTGCGTGCTGCGTATGTCCTTTGTCTGGACCTTTTTTTGGACTCCCTCCTCTCTTAGAGGAGTTTTGCTTATATTCTACAAACCCATAAGAAACAATGGTGTATGGGCGACTAATGCCCAAACAGCCATAAAAGAAAGAAGAAGAAGAACTATGTCTATGACTATGTCTATGGTCCAGACGGTCTTATGCTATGCATATGCAGGGGTGCGTTCCGTATTAACGTCCGGACGACAACTTTTTATCCAAAACCGTTCCGTTTACCAAGGTGTAACGTCATAACTGCGTTCCGTTTTCACAATTTCCGAACGTCCGGGCGACAACTTTTCGTCATGCTCAGGACTCCGATGAAAAACGTCACGCATGCGCAAAACGGCGTGATGTAATAAAGCGACGGTCAAATATATGTAGATTTGCGTTGTAGGTTATATTTATGTTTATATTCTATCAATTTTGTGTTTTAATATAAATTAATATAAAGAATATATTATGTTTGAAGTTTTATATCTAAGTTTAATGTTACTTACATGTAGATAAAACCTGGTAATGGATAATTTAAAGGCAGCTAGTTTAATTGTGATCAATTATTTAAGTAAATTAATATTCTTTAATATAAAATATAATCACAAAACATAAATAAAATGTTATGTATGCGCAAGCGCAAAATCGTCCAAGAATCGTTCCGTTTCACGAGACAATCTCGGTGTGTGACGTTATACCTCGTCTGGACGAACATTCCGGTATACGGAACGCACCCCAGTTCCCGATCCCGAGTCCTACCTAGTACAACTCCTGATCCGAAACCTATATCGCGTTACACCAGGCTACGGGCTACCCGTAGTTACGCCGGGTTACCCGGTTGCTGGGACGGCGCACCCTGATACCTAGCGTTACACCAGGTCACGGGCTACCCGTGGTTATGCCGGGCTACCCGGTTGCTGGGACGGCGCATTCTAGAATCCTTCGCGTTAAACCAGGTCACGGGCTACCCGTGGTTATGCCGGGCTTCCCGGTTGCTGGGACGGCGCACTCCTAGTCGTAAGACCGTACCGCGCCCCGCGCACCGTTCAACCTGGACGGCCGTTCGTATATACCGCGACCGTTTCCACCGTAAGACCACTTTAGTCTCCGTGTATCTTTCCGTCTAAATACCGCGAACCGTTAAACTGTAATACCGCTTTGTACATATACCGTGACCTGTCCGTATTGTAAGACCGCACTGTATATACCGCGCATCCTGACTGTAGAGTTAATTAGACATTAAGATTCCCGCCAAGTGTCGCGCCGATTCCACATTTACGCACGGCCTTCAGACTATTAAGGAGCGTCAGTCCTTTTAAGGATAGAACGCCGAGAACGCCGACGCCCCGTCCTTTTAAGGATAAGGCCGCCAGGCAGTTGGAATTACATCGAAGGCCACGCGACACCCGGTAGTATTTAAGATCTGTACTGTACCTCGGATTAGTCAATCATAGCTTATTTGCATGCGACCACCGCGACTGCAGAACACGGCCGCTTAAGCCACGCTCGCTTCCCGAGCTCATGCGCGAAACTCTGTACGCACCGTGCTTGCACGTCACCTTGCGAATAACCACCGCTCACGCGCAAAACTCTGTACACGCCGTACCTGCATGTTGCTTCGCACATCTTTCAGTGTTAAATATCTTTACTATACCCACTTGAATAAAACTAATTATTTAAACCGCTTATACTGAGGTAGAGTTAGTTGGAGTTTCCCCCTTCTCCCGAATCCTGGCACCGGCGAGCCTTGATCCGCGGCGTACGGGAAAGGTGAACCGTTACACTGTACCTGTAAGTGAGATAAACCGAAAGTTTTCATAACACATCAAGGAAAT